TGAGATGGGCTTGGATTTAAAAATAAAGTGGACTTAGATTAAAAAAATGGACTTGGGCTTGGATTAAAATAAATGGGCTTGGACTAATGTTAATGGGCTTGGACTTGAATTAAAATAAGATGGGCTTGGATTTAAAAATAAAGTGGACTTAGACTTGAACTTGGATTAAAATAAATGGGCTTGGACTTGAGTTAAAATGAGATGGGCTTGGATTTAAAAATAAAGTGGACTTAGATTAAAACAAATGGACTTGGGCTTGGATTAAAATAAATGGGCTTGGACTAATATTAATGGGCTTGGACTTGAGTTAAAATGAGATGGGCTTGGATTTAAAAATAAAATGGACTTAGATTAAAACAAATAGACTTGGGCTTGGACTTAAATAAAATAAACTTGGAAATGGACTTGGACTAAAATCAAAAGGCTTGGTTTTAAAGTAGATGGGCTTAGACTAACGAAAATGGGCTTAGGCTAAAATAAGTGGACGTAGATAGAAATAAAAAGGATTTTAAAATTTTAAAGAAAATTTATTCTTTCATAGAGGAAATTAAAAAAAAAAAAGAATTGGACCTTTTTTAATTATTAATGAAACTAATAAACAATATTAATGAGCGAAGGTTGTGTTCCCGCTATGAGTACCATGATTGGTATGTGAGCGCCGAGTGAATTCCGAGTGATGGTTGGACCATGAGTATGGCTTGAGAAAGAAGGGCTGGTACCCGAGTTTGGTTGAATGTAATTAAACATGTCATCACGTGCATCATGTGCATTGGGGGTGGAAATAAATTGAGAAAAATTATTGAGTCTTGAATTGACACGGTTTGATAACCGAATTGAGTGGATTGGGTAATAGCAAGGAATCCATAGTGCGAGCTCTATTTACTAACACCGTTAAGTGAGGGATAATTTCGCTAACCGTATGCTACAACGAGGGATAATTTCGTTGCGAGCGGTAGGTGATATTGAGATCACCGAGAGAAAGTAATAGAGCGAGTAAGTGATAACATGATCACCGAGAGATTGGGCGCATGAACTTGCATATACCTAGGGTACCGGATTAAAATGGATGAAAATATGAGAAACACAATAGCATTGCATATCACGTGCATCACCCTACTTACCGAGCTTTGGCTCATTCCGTTATTGTATTTGTGTGTTGTTCGGGCAAGGGCAAAGTTAAGTCGATCGAGGATGCTACCGGTTCTCGTTAAAAGAGGCTCATGTGTCACTCATAAAAATAGGAATATCCTTTGTGTCAATAAAAAGGGGTACGGGCCTAGGTTGTAAATTTTTAGGCATTTTGAATATGTTTTAAATTATAGAACTATTTGTAATAATGTTATAAATTATATTATACGTTTCCCATGGTTTAGTTTCATTGTGTACGATGGAGGAAGTAGGGGACTTAGTCCCAACGAGTGTGTCGCGTCGGTCACGTCCGTTAGGTAATAGGTAAGGGAGCCGAAGGCGTCACGGTGTACTCCTACTATGGCAACAAATTTCTTGAGTAGACATTTATCAAAGTGCAATGTGATAACTCATTTAGCATATAAGGAATGACATGTTCTATCTTAGCCATATACCTATCTTCATTAGATTACTAGTGCACCCAACGAATCGTCCACGTGTAACCCATTAATGGGTCTATCGAAACGAGTGTCAAAGTGAATAAGTCCTCTAATGAGATAACCGTGATAACTTCAAGTCTAAGAACCATTTGTACCCATCTCGTATGAGATTCTCATAGACTTAAACCAAATGAGTTCTCACGATGATTCAAATTCAATGACATGCTCTCTAACATAAATTACCTAAGTGCTTGCTTTGGTATCACCATGCCAATAGGTGTGGGATCTCCTATTGCTATCATATAGCATGAGCATAGCACTCATAAGTCTATCCGCATATTGTAATGTCCATTCTTGATGATGCTACGAATTGGGACGATTAATAATATCATTTATGAGCATTAGTGTTTGTCTCACATCTTTCTATCAATCACTATTGCAAATGTATATCATAAAGAATTCTATCAATTCTATTGAATTTATCAACATGTAAATAAAAGAATTAATAGAATGACTTCTTTATTATTATTAAAATAAATGATGCAATAACATATTAACATAAGCCCATTCAAACATGGTTGGATCTTGGGCACTAACACTAACATTGTTTTCCTTATATGTGAACTCGAATTGGCCATTGCAAACAATTCGATGTGAATAATGATTTTTTGCATAATGAACTTGTCTAAAGAAGTCTATATGAATCTTCCTCAAAGATGTAGTGTACCCGAAGTTCATAGTCAAAAGGTGTGCACGATCAAGTAATAGCCTTGAAGAACATAGTTTGAAAGGTTCACAAAGTCAATGATAGGTTTTGAATACCATCAAAGCAATTCGGATCATACATTAGTTCTAAAAAAAATATAGGAAAAGATTACTATGCTCAATATATAGGTAGAGATAATGATTCTAAAGAACTAAAAGTTCTATAGAATTATTTATCTAAAGAATTTAAAATGAAATATATAGGTCTTTTGAAATATTTTCTTTATATTGAAGTTTTTCGATCGGATGTAAGGATTTTTCTACCTCAAAGAAAACATGTCATAGATTTTTACAAGAGACTAGAATATCGGGATGTCAACCAATTGATACACTAGTAGAAAAAGGTTTGAAATTATATATTGAAGCTAATAAAGTGCCTATTGACAAAGGAAGATACCGGATACTTGTAGGGAGATCGATGCACTTAGCTCACATAAGGCTAGCTCTTACTTATGCATTAAGTGTTGTTAGTCAATGTAAGCATAATCTTAGAGAACAACATATGAATGCGATCATGCGTATTTTGAGGTATTTGAAGTTTACCTTTAGAAAGCGAATCTTGTTTACAAAAAACACAAATTATCAAAATATAGATGTATATGCTAAAGCCGACTAAGTTGGGACGAGTAGATGATAGATGATCCACTTCAAGTTATTTTACTTATAGGTTGTAGTCTTGTTACTTAGAGAAGCAAAAAGAAAAATGTTTTTGCACGCTTAAGCACGGTAGATGAATTTAAAGGTATGACACTTGGTCTTTATCAAGTATTATGGTTAAGATTTCTCTTACAAGATTTGATTTATCCACTTAGACAACCAATTTGACTATATTGTGATTATAAAGTTAAGTGTGATATTACACATAATCCGGTTCAACATAATCGTGCTAAGCATGTCGAGATGGACAAGTTCTTTATTAAGGAGAAACTAGATAGGAAAATTTTGGAGTTGCGTTAAATGAAATTGATCAATTACTTGATCTTAGAAAATTGATATCGAAGTTGAGTGTACATTAAATGTATAAATGTCAACTAAATATGATTTTAGAAAATTCATCATGGTATAAGTTTATTATTGAAAATTTATAAAGATGAGAAAGTTAAATATTGTTTTTTTTTTTTTTCTTATTTTGAGTTGAACTACTTTCTCTTATTTTAAGTAGTTGTAGCCCCAAAAAGAAGAAGAAGAAGAAAAAGAAGAAGCATTGGATGTGCATAGATTTTAATAATTATGTGAAGTATCATGGTTAAGATTTCTCTTAGAAGATTTGAGCTATCTACTTATACAACTAATTTGGCTATATTGTGATAATAAAGTTATATGTGATATTACACATAATCTGATTTAATATAATTGTACTAAGCATGTCGAGGTGGATAGGTTCTTTATTAAGGAGAAACTACAAACTAGATAGGAAAATTTTAAAGTTATGCAAGATTCAATCACATGATTGGTTAGTTAACATCCTCACAAAAACGATTTCAAATCAATTGTTCTCAAGTGTTATAGATAAATTGGGTATATATAAGATCTATGCACCAACTCGGAGGAGACTGTTGGGATTTTCCTTTTTTCAATTCTTTTCTAGTATAGAATTATTTAATCTTTGGAAATTGATCAATTACTTGATCTGAGGAATTTGATTCTTTCCTAATAGATAATCACTTGATCTGAGAAATTTGATGGTAGAGTTGAGTCTACATTAAATGTATACATGCCAACTATACATGATTTTAGAAAATATATATATATATTTGAAATACTTTCTCTTATTTTAAGTAGTTGTAGCCAAAAAAATAATACGATAAGAAACATTGGATGTGCATAGATTTAAATAAATCTGTGTGGGGACTGAAAATAGAGAATAAATTTGATGAATGCATATAATTATTGAGAGAGAAGTCGGAACTCGGAATCATCTAGACTTGTCTGGATTCCATGAGTCATTCATTTATTTATTAGGGCACGTGATTGCTACTAATAAATAATAATGTCTGCAGCAGGTTATACTCAACCACTTCATACGCCTTCATCTTTTTCTGGATGTCCTACAAGTGATCGTGATCTTGTGACCTAACCCCGGTTTTTTCCAAAAAAAATTAAAAAATAAAAAGTCAAAAGTCAAAAGTTTTCATCATATGAAATTTTATTAAAAAGAAGGCCAAGCCGGAAAGGAATTTTCTTCTTCGATGATTCTGTCAAAGATATTTTTTCTATTTTCTCTTTTGTCAGAGGTCAATGATGTTGTCACTAGCTAGCAAAACCATCATAAATAACGTTTTGGTGATTAATAACACACAGACACACACTTCATAATTAAAATTTAAGACTTAATTCCCTTCAAATTTTCTTTTCTTAATTGGACCCCTAATTTCAAGTTATTAAGAATCACCCTGGCCAGAGATAAAATCATCAGTCCAATTGATTACTATAGATGTTACATCAAACATTATCACAGTACATGGGATGCAGACGTACATATTATCTAGAATTTAAAATGTTCTGATTTGTTCATAAATTTTAAGAGTATTTCATATCAGATGTACTTTTGGCACCCAGTAAAATAACTTTTCTTCTATTTGTATTTATCATTTGGCTTGGTAGTCTTCATGACTGCTTGCGGTTTCAAATTTGAAGTGACAAGATTAAATCCAGTAACAGATACTGTCAATTGCTGAAAAAAATATCAAAAAAAAAAAAAAAAAAGTGAAAAGCTTGATTAGAAATTGGGATTCAGTGATCAGTGTCATGACAAGTTTTGAAGGGATACTGATGTCATCTGTGAAAATTAATTGTCTCTTTTTTAAGCGAGAGAAGTCTGCACAACTATATCTAGCTTGAGAAATTTAAGATAAGGACTAACTTTATTTAGAATTACTGTTGAAGAGGATTTTCGTCGATGCATTGTACCTATCTATATATGTTTCTCTTTCTCACGTCAAATACGACTTTTCTAAATTGTAATTTTCGTGGTTAAGTCACTGACCCAATAAAAAAGACACGTTCAATGAATAATAACAGCAGTAAGAAAAGGCTAACATGTATTTCCAATAGGGATGCTCTATGTGTGACATAATGCAATATTCACAACAAGAAGAAAGAAAATCTTTAGAAACTTAGATAAACAGATATGTTTTTCACATTATCATTTAGGATTCAAATGATAGATAAATTGAAATTTTTTATTTTTAATAAAATATAAGTTCAAATATAGATGATATGTGAAGAAATTTTTTAATACAAATCAAAGATAGATCAACAAATAGGTTAAAGTATAGTGTAAAGAATTAGTATTGTGATTTATAAAAATAATAGTCTAACAATCAAGTAGAATGATTGCAATGAATGAGAAACGTAGAAGAAAAGACAGGTATTATTAGTAAGACACAAATCAAATAGCAAGTAGATGGTTAAAGTCCAAACATATGAAACTTTAGATGTTATTTGGTATGGGAGAGTAAGAGTGAGTGAGAGAGGTTTGAAAGAGAGAATTTAGAAGTTCAACTAAAGATAATAAAAAAAATATATAATTTTTTCACAACAATGTGAAGTTAATATTTATAGTAGAAGATAGATATCAAATGATTGCTAGGATCACATTATGTCATTCATATTTAGATGATTGGATTTGAGGTAGACAAAAAAAAAAAAAAAAAAATTAATCAAACTACTTCAACTTGTTAGTAATTTTAAAAAATATATATCAATTAGATTTTTCTTTAACATAATTACTTCGAAACCACCAAGTTAATTTTTTTAATACATTTTTAAAACAAGACATGAACATTGATTTTATCATAATATCCGTATCCATCATTATACAAACTAAAGTTTTGTGCTCAGCGAAATCATCATCAATTTAAACCATTTATTATGTAGTTTGGATCCATAAAAAATTAACAAAAAAAATCATAAATTAATATATAATTAATTAAATTACTTAGTTTTTACGAATAAATCAAGCACATACAAATAGGCTACTTCTTCCATAATAATAATAATCTAAAAATGTAAAAACCCATATAAAAATATCCTTAATTACCAAAAGAAATTACTACAAATGGGGTTTAATGGCAAATTTTGCCTTCATGTTATTGCAATTTAATAATTTCAAACAAATCACGTAATTTAAACCACAAAGTACGGGAGATTGGGCATATATGATCTAAATTGCTCAATCTTTATTATGTGTAATGGTCAATTGAGTTGACCGTTATTTGAAATGCCAAAAACAATATCGTTTCAATATTTAATTATGTTTTTTAAAAAAAAACATTTTAAAAATACTTTTAAGCCCCCTAATATTGAACCTTTTTTTTTAATTTTTTTCTTATAAATATTATAAAAATTTTACAAATTATATATAAAAAAATTTTATAAATATTTTTAACTCTCTAATTTTGAATTTTTTTTGTACTTTTTTTTATAAAATATTATTGTAAAAAAGATAATTAACAATACACAATTTCAAGCCTTAAAAAAATATATATTATATAAATTCAAAATGAGCATAATAAAGAATTGACTCCCTAATTTCATATATATATTAAAAAATGTTTAAAAAAAAGTTCGAAATTGGGAGGTTAAAATATTTATAAATTTTTTTATATATAATTTATAAAAATTTTATAATATTTATAAGAAAAAGTTTAAGATTAGAGGGTTAAAAATATTTTTTTAAAAAAAAATTTTAAGCATAATTTATAGCGAAAAGTCAAAACAACGTTGTTTTAATATTCTAAGTAACGGTTAATTGAGTTGAATATTATACATAGCGAAAGTTGGATAATTTAAATCATATTTGATCAATTTTTAATATTTTAAAGTTTAAATTAACTGTTTTAGTATTATAAATTTAAAATTATCAAATGGCAATAGAAGTGAGGAAAATTTGTCATTAAACCAAATAAATGGAGGGCTGATGCATGAAATATTTGTGTCAGAATGGGCTGGGCGGCCTACTTTATCTACCCAGGCTCTATTTAATTAAAACACTCATCAGAGCTTTAGTATGATGGTTCAAAATTCAACATCGTCCAAGCTTCACTGTTTCTAAGATGTTAATGCACTAAATTGAGAAGTTGTACTTTGATCCAATGGGCCAGATTTGTTTTTTTATTGGCCAGACCCATTTTAATTTTAATTGTTACAATAGATTATGGACATTAATTAATTAACACATGATATTAAATGTGTTTTTTTTTTATAGTGATATTAAATGTGTTTAGATAGAAGCAAATTACCTATTGGACCCATAATCCAAGATTTGGAAGTAAATCGTTTTCCACTTTCACGTGGTTAACAAAATAAATGAAGAATGACATGAAATTTCATAACCCACAAAACAATTACAAATTACAAGTTCAAGCATTGTTTTGAATTTGGCTAAATGATAAACCTCTTCAAAACTTTAATCTATTAGAAAATCAGTCTTTAATATTTTAATTTTCAGCTTCACTTTTCTTAAACCTTTTTTTTTTTTTTCAGATTTAATCTATCTGATCATATAAATAACCTATATATGATGGAAATCATTTGATATGATTTATCTAGGACTCTCTAAAAAATTAAAATTATTTTTTATTTTTCTTTATTTAAAAAAAATTTTGAATTTTTTTTTAAAATAGATTGGACTTTTTTCAACGAATGTGCAAAATATAGACTTAAAATAGCAAGAATTATTTTTTTTTAGAGGAGTTAGTAATTAGTAAAAATCATGGAATAAATTAAATCTTAAAAAAAAAATCAAGAGAGGTCAGACCTAAAATTAGAAATTTAAATACTAATTTTGAAATAAACAAAAATTTAAAAATATTATGACCAATTTAACACTTTGAATTTTTGTGTGAAGAGATAGTGCGTATTGGTTTTTTTCTTTTTTCTTTTAATAATAATAATCATTGGAGAGTCGGATCTTAATTCAGAGAATCTCCTTCATTACAATTAAAGAAGATAGAATCTCATTAAACAAGTTTCCGGTGTACAATTGCTAAGGCAAGCCAGCAGGGGGTAAAGACTTATTATTCATGATTATTATTTTTGGTAAAATGTCAATAATTTCAGAAGCATGGGAATTCAATATAGATACTTTATTTTCAAAATCTTAATTTTGAGTCCTTATCGTTACGTCGAAATGGAACACAGAAATTTAAATCCTTTTCCAATCCTAACCATACAATTATCCGCGTTGAGCGTTGACGTTTCCTGGAAAGAGACCAATGACATTACTTGAATAACATTGTTGAAACATCCCATCAAAGTCTTTTCTCTCTGTCTCTCTCTCTCTCTCTCTCTAGTTTGTCCTCTATGAAAACTTGTTTTAACACCAATTGTTTTTTTTTTTTTTTTTTTTTGGGGGTCTGCTTGAACAAGCACCTTACTTTGATCTCTTCATGCTCTTGCAAGCACGCATGACTTCAACATCACCAGCCAGACATATTGCACTCACAGACAGCATTTTATCTATATCAGCCTTTTTACATATATATGGTTGGACAAGGTGGAATGGGGTGGGTTTCTTATTTAGAAAGCCAATCAAATTTCACAATTCTTAAAGGGGACAAACAGATATGCAAGCATATGCATACGAATGCAATTGGACATGATACATTATTTCTCAAAAAAAAAAAATAATAATAATAATAATTTATTTCTATGCGTAGTAATTAAAAGGTAGAGGCATTTCATATATATAGATTAGAAAGGAAATGCTACATACGTACAAATTACTTGAGAACAACCAGCAAGGAATAGGAGTCATACGTACACTAATTAAGAGTAGATCAAATATTTTGCACCGACATTGTAGTTGCGTTTAATATATATAAATTACTCTTTCTTCTGTTCCTTGGCAGCCTCTACCTTGGCATCCTCTACCTTGGCAGCAGCTTCCTTCACCTTCGCTTTTCCCTGCCTGGGCTTCATGAAGCAGAAACATGAGCAACAAGGGCACTGGAACAAGAACTTCATTGCTAGCTAGCTTATGCCTTCTCTCCTCTCAAAATTTCTCCAAAACCTTTGTGTGTAGAAAAAGTCTTAGCTTTCCCGTGCTGCCTTTTCTATCTTCTTTCTTATCTAAATAATGCCATTCATTTTTTTATTTTTTCCATTTTGTCGATTTTCTATAGGATTCCAAATCAATCACTTTCAATAAAGAAGATGCCTAGCTAACAAATAATGCGAGCTTTAAAATCTGTAGGAGTGGGGCTGCCCATGAGCAAAGATGAACTCAATGCTCCTAATAAGCTCTTCTTTGTGGGTCATCCTCAGCCCACTTACATTGAAATTTAAGGGCTCCTTTTGATTTCATTGTCTCTCGTTAAAAACTCCAAGCTGGCAACCATTATGTGTACACATGTATATTTTACATGGCCATGTGGTTAAGTTTCAATCTTGTTTTCTTGTTTGTTGTAGTTAGCACAATTATTGTAATGCCCAAAGATTTTGACCATTTCCCCAGTTTTTATTACTTGGTTTTGCTTGATGTCCAAGCTAGAAACTTAATCAACCTAAAGCATAATGGCTATAATGAACTAAAAAACAATTCTTCTTCTTGCCCCTCATTGTTTGGTTTAGCCTCGTACAAATGCTCTACCACTAAAACGAAAAGTTGCAAAAAGCATGTGACTTCCAATCCATTGTGCGATTTTCATGGCTGCATGTGCCCGCAACTTCAAAGATTGGACCTCGCAAGTCGCCTGTGTCTCCCTGTCTTTAATCATATTACTGTTGCAAGCACAAAAATTCTTCAAATCTGAAGACCTCCATGTTCACTTCACATTACTCGTTCACAAATTGATGAACATTAGTCGTTTTATGAGCAACATCAAAATAACTTTCAGTGTGCAACTTATCCTAATGGCAATTCTATATTCCTGTATACCCTGGAATTATCATCCTCTCCTTGCTATGATATGCAAAGAAAAGAGGATAACGAGATTCGTTTTGTTTCTACATAGAACTATAAACAAAGGAGGGAACTTGAAAATAAAAATAATAAAGACATAGTACATCACATTCTAGCCATTTGAATTTTGGGAAGACATCATTAAGGCTTTTATCCTCTGCTTTATTACTTTTGAGCACAATCTTCCGCTTTTGGGGGATCTCAGCTCCTTTCTATTAAAGTAACTTTTTATTTACAAAAGATGAAATATAGGGACGAAAAGCATACATAGGAGTTGTATAGTGACAACGCTTTTTGGAACAATCAGCTTATTTTAATCACAAAGGTCATACAGTGCAAGCATCATAATTCAAAATTTTCATGAAGTTCAAAGTCTGGCAGGTGGTACTACTCGTTCAGCTGCATTACGATAGTCATAGACGCCAATACTGCGTTTTCTTCCAAGACGACCTGCATCAACATACTGCACAAGAAGCGGACAAGGAGCATATTTACTGTCCCCTAAGCCAGCATGAAGAACTTTCATTATCGACAAGCATACATCCAGTCCAATGAAATCTGCAAGTTGTAAAGGGCCCATTGGATGGTTCGTTCCTAACTTCATTCCTGTATCAATATCCTCCTTTGTTGCCACTCCTGTATAGAGAGTATAAAACGCTTCATTTATCATTGGCATTAAGATCCGGTTTACAATGAAGCCTGAAAAATCTTGAGAGCATATCACTGTCTTGCCAAACCTGCAGAGTTAATAGCGATTGAGATAAAAATAAAAGTTCGATTAAAAAAGGAGAAGGTGGTGGAGGGAAGGAGAAAAGGGGGGCCGGTTTGCTTTTAGTGCCAAAGCACTGTCGGAGTATTTTTAATGCCCATTCAAGAAATAAACAAATACAAGACAAAATGAAGGACATAATTATCATAATTATTTGAAGACTCAAGAAAGGCACCATTGTTTCACAGAACAAGGTTTTTCAGTCACCTCTCTGCCAATGCCTTGGTTGCATAAAATGTCTGGTCTGATGTGTCAGCACCACGCACAATCTCAACCAATTTCATTATAGGAGGAGGATTCATGAAATGCATGCCAATCACCTATAGATCATATTTTTCTGACCCAGTCAGAATCCTGTTCTGTTAAAATCAATACAATATACATAATCTGAAGTTAAGAGAACTTCATTTGATTTGTGCAAGTGTTATTAATAGACGGTCTAAGCATTGGCCAAAAACAAGAAACATATTCTAAGCATAACCTGGAGTGGCCTGCTAGTTGCAGATGCTAGGCGGGTAATGGAGATGGAACTTGTATTGGATGCCAAAATGGCAGAACTTTTTGCTATCCTATCTAGTTCAAGGAATAACTTTTTCTTCGCATCTTCGGATTCCACGATAGCTTCAATAATAATATCTGCCATACGCAGCTCTTCCAAATTTGAGCTACACCGTAGACGGCCCAAAGCATCATTACCTGCAGCCTGTCATGTGGAGTCGAAGAAACCCTTTGAAGCTAGAACATATATCAGTTTACACAAAAATAAATTTCTTTGTCCGTCAACATCTCTACCAGCATAATTACATAAAGGAAGGTACAAGCATGGACAGAAACGGGCTTAACCCCTCAAATCAAACTCATAAACAAATTATTATTATTATTCAACTGGAGATTTTGTTTTGTTAGGGCCTGTCTATCAATCTCACCATCCTCCATGTCTAAGTATTGGAGATGCCCCCTTTCTTTGAAGGCCCATGAAGCCTTAAAGTAGCAAGTGGTCTAAACTCACAGGGAAAATTGTCATCATAATGCCTTGCTCATAAGCAATGTAGAACAACATGCTGGTTTAGTTGAATCAAGAAATCATTATATGCAGGTCTAGCTGCTAATATACTCTTTTAAGCTTATTACCAATTAGATTTATTACAGTCCAAGAATCATCCAGCAGAGTGGTCTAATTTGAACTGGTAGTTGTATCATTGGCTAATTATCAGAACAAATTGTCAAATGTGTAATCTAAAAAATGCTACTGAATATTGTATCACTTTATTAATGATTACTAGTTTTTTCAACTCGTGATCATTTTATTTTATGTATATTTTTTAAAGTTTATTGGGAGGTCTACAACTACACAACGGAAATAGTGCTACTCGTTATAATATAATTGAGAAAATGGTAGTCATTGGACCTCAAAGCTTGCTTTATCAAATAAAATTATCAGGTACACAACTGCTAGGCCAAACATATTTTGTAGTGCCAGAATGTATTTATTTATTGGCTCAAGTATTGTAGCAAAAATCAATTATTTTTAACTCAACTTTAGCTTTATTAATTGATTATTATCAACTCAATGACTTAGAAAATTAAGTTTATTTTATTATTTCTTTATTTTAATAGATAGCAAATGTTGTATTAAAATTTTATTAGATTGTTCATTTATCTTTTCATTGTTACTAAACTACTTTTTTTTTTAATGCTAATATTTTATCTAACGAATTAATTTTTAACTGTACACATGATAGATATCATACTTTCAAGTAATAAAAAAAAATCTCTTTTCTTTTTTCTTCCTTAAATACAGAAGTGTTACAAACAGTGTCAAGATGAGTCAATAGTCCAATATTTATTATATAGATGGCAATTCTGTAATTATTAACAGTTCTATATAGTAGAATAGTGAATTAGACCAATTTAAATTTAATTTTAAAATTGATTCATTAAACATGAGCTATCACATAAAATAATTTAAGAAGGATATTCGCTATCCCTGAATTTTTAAATATATGTTATGTTAAGTATTTTTATTTTTGTCATTTTGTCATCAATGATAAAAAAAATAATGCCACCAATTCCTAGGATCGCATGTGTACATGATCTAATAGTTTGTGCTGAAACTAATGAAAACTTTGAAGTGAATGCTTAAAGCAGCTAACCATTTCCTAATGCTTCTCATGAAAAAAATAAAATAAAATAAAAGACTTTTAAGTGCTACATATGTAATTGCTCTTACCTGATTATTTATTGGAATTAGAATTAAATTTAAAAAAAAAAAAAGCCACTTTTAGTAAGTCTGGGATTCTTTTTTAGTTTATTTATTCTTATAGCCACTTTTTAGTCCTATTAATCAAAAATTGATTCAGTTACTATAAAAATCTTCTTTTTTTCAGTAATAGTGGGATTCTAAATTTATCAAAACAACAAAAAATTATAATAACAGGGGGAAAAAAAATCACAAACTGACAACAAGAAATAAATGAGCGGCATTATAGTCTACTCAAAATTTAACCCCCCCAACTCTCCCTCTATTATATAGTAAAGATAGATATAATTAATGAGGCAGTCTTAAAGCTCAGCATCTTCATTAAGTGCCTCAATGATTTTGAGAGTATCGAGTTAAACTTTCCTATTCTATGGTCTGCACCAAGGGTCTACAAAATGGGCTTGCTCAATACAACTCTACTTCCTTCACAATTTTCTTCTAACATATTGAAGGTGAAATCCCTACTAAAGATTTACAGCCAGTCCCAGAGCTCACAACCTACCGAACAAAGTAGATCTCCTCTCACACTGACCAGCATCAGAAGTCAACAAATTAAGCCTTATTCCACACCAAAAAAATAGCTAGAATCAATTGCATACATTTCTCTCCTCCACTTAATCCAGACGATACAAGTACTATCCAAAATCGAATCTTTGATCAGGTATAGTATCTAACGTTGACTCAAAAATGATTCTTAAAAAGTTAGTTAATCTTAAGTCCTACCCTTCGTCTTCGTAATAGTTAAAGTTAAACCAAATTAAAGTTTTTTTCCTCTAGATTGCAAATAGACAATCTTATACTAAAATCTTTCATTCATGTAAAGCTTAAACTAATACTAAACAAAATTCTAACAACAATTTTGTAACCCATCAAAATAACGAATAAACAATCAATTCAGTACTACTACAAGTAACGATAATAGAGCAGCAGCTAAACAGGGTATTTGTTTTTTTCTTTCTTTCTTTTCTTCTTTGGATCAAATATTAGACTTTTACCTGAGAGAGTTGGCCTTTGGAGATGAGACGGTGGATGTTAGTGGTAATAGATTTTGTGGCTTTAGAGAGAGCAACGGGATCTGCGTCAAGTAGCCACACATCGAGCCCGTATACGGCGGCGAGTTGAGCTATTCCAGAGCCCATTTGGCCACTGCCCACCAAGCCTACTTCCTTGATCTCCGTCATTTTTGTTTCACACAACCTCACTGATCAGTGGCTCCTCTAGCTACAGATAAGGTTGTGACGTGTATTGTATCTTTTCTCCTGCAAAACCAAACTAGGGTGATAGGTGTCGCGTAGTGCTCCTCCCCTCGTCTAAAAAATGAGTGCCATTTTTCCTTTTCTTTTTGTGTATATTATTAAAAAAAAAAAAAAAACAAAACAAAACAAAAAATTGTTAGTTATTTAGTTTTTTTGTTATGCTCTAATTATTAATCTTTTAATCCAATTACTCTCAACACACTTCAAAACTTAATCAAACAAAAAATAAAACACAAAAAAAACTTAGCATTTACTATATTTTTACATTTTTTGAAATCAATTTTTTTCAAATAAAATAATTAAAATTATGTCTTAAAAAAATTCTCGATGGTACATACTTTTTAAATAGATTATTTTATATTAATATTATGGATTATTTTGAATATATACATATATATATATAATTTAAAAATTAATCCTCTCATCAATATTTAATAAGGATAAAAAATTTATTTTTTATTTTATAATTTTATGCAACTCTTTTTACATTAATTGTTGCTTCATTTTTCAATACAGTCTTATAAAAAAAATAAATTTACATAATTTTTTTAGCTTTTTGATTAATTGAAATTAGCATTTTATATTATTATTTAAGAAATCATACATAAAGAAAAATATCATTTTTTTACAATATATATATATATTTAAAGAAAAAATTAATTAAGTGTAAAATTTCGATTAAAAAAAAACTCATAAAGTTAGGTGATTTTTTTTTTTTTTTTGTAATTTTGATATATTTTAGTGGATCTATAGCATGGTAAGATCCATCGAACTATAACATTGTTTTCAAATGATTTCACAAATTTTGTACAATCCGTAATATAGTTCGAATAACTAGTTAATTTCTATCTAAAACAAAATAAAAATAACATTAGAAAATAACTTAATTTCAAAACTAATGACATGGCATGCTATTGATTACATTTTTTTAAATCTATTTACAAAATTAAATGAGACTATATATATATATATATATATATATATTTCAAACAGAGAGAATAGTGTTTTTTTTTTTTTTAAGATATGTATCGAAAACGTGAAGGATGCTGATTTTATCAAATAATCCATAATTCAATGAATGTTTAAAGATATCTTTAAACATGAATCGTTCAAGATCTTTTTTTTTTTTTTTTTAATGTTTAAAAATCATGTATCGAATTATCTTATTTATTATTTTACAAATGACTTATATCATATCATGTATTTCAAAAAAAATACATCAATTATACAACTTATATCAAGTATCACTTAATACTTGATGAAGAATAGTACATGCCCGTAGTCTTAAGGGACACTAGCTAAGTTTATATATATATCATGCTCAAGGGTCTTGGCCGTTACATGTTTTTCATAAATTTTATAGTTAAAATATATGATTCGTTATTTTTTATGTATTGATTTTTAAATAAAACCTTGCTATAATCTAACTAGAATATTTAATCCATTTTTTTTAAAAAAACCCCTTTTTTCATAATATTGTATCAAAAAATAAAACAATAATTAATATAAAAACTTGTATAAAAATTAACAAATGAGTATTTTTTTTCATTCTTATTTAACTATGATGAGAATGATGAGAAGACTATTTTTTTTAACAAAAAAAAAATGTATATTGAATTTGTATATATTTAATCACAAAATAATCAATAATATTGGTATAAAAAAATGTATTTGATCATTAGATAGTTCTCCTAAAATATTATTTAAATTATTTTATTTCAAAAAAATAATTTTAAAATATTAAAAAAATGATAACAAATGGTTGATATTATGTGTGTAGATGCATAGTTAATTTTTAATAAACCTAATTATCTCATTTTTTTTATATACATCTTGACCATACTTAGTGGATTTAGAGTATCCAGCATAAATTAAAAAAAATATTTTAAAAAAATAAATGGCAAAGAATATATTAAAATTAATATAATTAAATAAAAAACAACAAAATTAATTTTGATAAAGTTTAATTATAAAAGAAGAAGCAAATAAAAAATGTGAATTTTATTATTATTTTAATTGATTTTTTTAGAAGGCTTTAGACAAATTATCTAAAATATACTTTTAACTTTTAAACACTCTCATTAAAAAATCATAATAATTCATCATATGAATTATATCAATATATAAAAAATAATAAATAATTACATTCTAAAATTTAATTCAAAAGTCGATACATAGAAAAAAAATCATATTTATTAACAAATAAAATTATATAAATTTATAAAATTAATTTCATGAGAATTTTCATAAAAAATGACAAATAAAAAAAATCAATTTTGAACAATAAAAGTAATAAAATCCAATATATATGTTCATTAAAAAGAGATAAAATAATTATTTTTAAAAATTCATAGATAGAAAAAAATAAATCATATTCTATACAATTAATTTTGATAAATTTTATTTATATATAGAAGAAGCAAATAAAATAAGTGGATTTTATTTTTTTAATTGATTTTTTTAGAAGGTTTCAAACAAATTATCTAAAATATACTTTTAGCTTTTTAAGATTCTCATTTAAAAATCATAAGAATTCATCATATGAATTATATCAATATAAAAAAAATAATAATAATATTCTAAAATTTTATTGAAAAATTCATAAATAGAGAAAAATAAATCATATTTATTAACAAATAAAATTATATAAAAAATAAAAAATAATTTCCATGGGAATTTCTATAAAAAATGAAAAATAAAAAAAAATCAATTTTAAACAGTAAGAGTAATATAATTTGAAATATAAGTTCATAAAAAATAATTATATTCTAAAATTTTATTGAAAAATTCATATATAGAGAAAATAAATCATATTTATTAACAAATAAAATTATGTAAAAATATTAAAAATATATTTTTATATAAATTTCTATAAGAAGCAAAAAATAAAAAAAAATCAATTTTAAACAATAAGAGTAATATATATATATATATATATATATATATATATATATATATATATATATCCATTTTAAATTCTAAAAAGATATTATATACGTTTCATCACAGTTAGCCTATGTGAAAAAACCAAAAAAAAAAAAAATTAATTTTTTTTATAACTTTTGCATCAAATTAAAAAAAACAAATCAATTTTAAACAATAAGAGTAATATAATTTGAAATATAAGTTCATAAAAAATAATTATATTCTAAAATTTTATTGAAAAATTCATATATAGAGAAAAATAAATCATATTTATTGACAAATAAAATTATGTAAAAAAATTTAAAAATATTTTTTTATAAATTTCCTTAAGAAAAAAAATAAAAATAATCAATTTTAAACAATAAGAGTGTATATATATATATATATATATATATATATATATGTCCATTTTAAATTCTAAAAATATATTATATACGTTTCATCATAGTCAGCTTATGTGAAAAAACAAAAAAAAAATTATTATTATTTTTTATAATTTTTGCACTACATTCAATAAAATAATTTTATAAAAGTTTGGTAAAAAAAAGCAAAAAAAAAAAAAAAACACACACACACACACACACACACACATATATGAAAACGAAAAAATTCAATTTTTTTAACATTCTAATCTACCTCTTTCAACTATTTTATGGTCTAAGATCATCGTAAACACACTATTCTCATCAAAATAAACAATATGAATGGAAGATCGACCATAAAAGAGATTGGAATTAGAGTCGATCATGGCTTTTTCTCTCATATCTCTCGCATTTAGAGACTAAATTATGATATAAATAAACTTGAAGACTAAAATAAAATTTTTGAAAATACCATGGGCTAAAATGAAATATTAAAAAAACCTAGATATAAGTACCTCAAAGCAACCTAAAGATCACAAAAATACCAATGCATAATGCACATAATTCTAAGTGAACAATAAATAAACAATATTTTGTGAGTGTGTAAATCTTTTTGTTTTTTTTTTTTTAATTTTTTTATTAAGTGATTATTTAAAATGTAATTTTTGTGATTGATTGAAGCTTGAAAATAAAAAATTTATAGCAATAAATCTTTATTGTGTTTGGATTATATTTGAGAATTCACAAAAAAAACAAAATCACTATTTTACCCCTAAATGTTACAACATCTAATTTCGTGATATGAACTTCTTCTTCTTTTTTTTCTTTTTTTTTTTTTATAAATAGTTATACCGATAGTACCATATGTTAATTAAAAAAAAACATATATTAATTATAAATACCAAGCAAAACAATTTATTACTTACAAGTCACATAATATATAAACTATATTAATGATATGGATAAAATATACCACCACTCTCTCTACTATTGATCAAAGTATAAAAAAAAATCCATGAATAAATAATTCTTTGTAAATAGTAATTGGGCACAATTATAGGTGAAAATTAGTTTTTTTTAGCTAAGTGACCTTGGATTTCCATCCAATTTTTTAAGGTAAAATGTGCTACGCCTCTTGTTATTGGTCAATATGCAAATAGTCTTTAAATAAATTATTCAATATAAACTGGATCATTCTATTAAATGAGTTAGGGCGTAACATACTAAGCACTTGATTTTTACTTAACCCAAATTGAACAGAAATCCAATCCTATTCAATATAAGGATTTAATTTTACTTAAAAACTATTTGTTCTGAATAATTTGTTTAAAGATCATACCTACTTTAATCAATTAATAAGGCAAAACTTTTACTCCAAACATATTAATACCAAGTCTAAAGCATTTTTATTATTATTAAAAAAAAAGAAAGAAACAAGGATACAATTAGTTCATTTAATATTAAAAATAAAGGTAGTTTAGTTAAAGAATTAAAATAACATACATCAATCATAAGACAATCTTGCATTACCAACATGATGGAGCCAGAGAAAGGTAAGAAAAGGGAAAAAATAAACAAATGAAAGGAAAGAAACAAAGAGCTAAAGAGGTAAAACGACACAACAGCAGATAACGTGAA